TCTCTCTCTCTCTCTCTCTCTCTCTCTCTCTCTCACACACACACACACACACACACACACACACACACACACATACAAATCTTGGAAAATTTCTCCATTACTTTTATGCAATTAAATAGCTATCATCAACGTTTTCCAATATAAAATGGGCTAGATATTTGGTTTTATCCAGATCTTTTTATAGTTATATTTCTTTTCTATAGGACATTGAGATTAAAGTTTCAAAATTATTATTGATTGTATATATATGTATAACTTTTTTGTTTATTTTTGGGGTCAGTTATGAGGCTTGAACTGAGAAGATGAACACTGTCCCTTAGCTTTTGTGCTCAAGGCTAGTGTGCTAACCACCTTGAGCCACAGTGCCATTTTCATCATCTGTTAAAGACAAATACTAATAGCATGTTTCACATATCATTTATTTTATAATACTTATTCCTCAAATAAATTGAAAACATTTATTTAAACTTGCACAGCATTTGGTAGGACATTTTCTCAAGGGTGTAGTCAGGTTGACAAACAATTTCATACTAAATACATAATGTAATTCTATAATTATGTCACAAAAGTGTTGAAATATTATGTAATGGTAAACAGCTGAATAAGTACATTAAGTTCCATAACTTAAAAATAAAGTTTGAGGTACAGGACAATAAAATGCTACTTTTTGGAAATAATGAGTTCACAATTCCAGTCAAAGCTAACAATATAGTTTGCAGTCCGTAGTTGGATTTCAACAATGTTCCATGCAATTTTTCCAAGACATTTTCTATTTTTTAATAAGTTTTTATTGTGAAAATACTGTACAGAAGGGTTACAGTTACATGAGCAAGGTAATGAGTACATTTCTTATCAAGCATTGCTGCCTCCTCCTTTGCTTTTCTCCTACCATCCCTTCCCTCCTACCTCCACAACTACCCTCCCCACCCCACCTAAATTGCAAAGTTTGTTTTTCAACATAGTGTCTTGTACATCTCATATTTCATTGTTACAATGGGTCAAACTGTATCCTTATTTAAATATTTTGCTTTTTCCCTTCTCCTCCCCAAATTAGACCAACATCAAATTCAGTGAAAATAGGGCTTATACCGTGGAGGAGGAACATACAAAGCAACAAAAGAAAATCACATGGTACCTTATAAATATGTTAGAAACAATAGCAAGAAAGAACAAAAAATCAACTTGTGTCCCTATCTTGGGGTTCATTTAGCTTAACTTCATCTTATCTGGTCATATGTACATAGCTTTCTTTCCCTGTGTGACATCAATCACTATTACCAGGTGGCAGTAGCAAAGAGAGCATAATTAAACAAATCACATGGCTTATCAACTGATGAAAAATGTTTGTCAAAGTAGCAAAAGTATATTTATCTAGAATACAGAATAGTATCTTCCAATAAACTGACTGACTAATTAGATATAGTCAAATATTCTTTTGGTTTTTCAGTCTAAGTACTTTGCCATGTAAATCTTCAATGCTACAAAACTCAGAAAAACTTGATAAACAATTCAATTTGGAGATATGTGTGTATGTAGACAGATATACTGACAGACAGATAGCTTGATCAATCCATTGATCAATCGATTAATAGATAGATGTGTATGTGTTTATATATATATGCATATATATGGTTTTCATCAGCTAATAAAATAATAAAATACTAACAAACTTGACAGAATTATGGTAGGTTTGAGCTTTTATTTCTGTGCTTCTTGTGATCTAGCCATTGTCACCAGATGAAATTACTCTACATCCAGTGGGACAAAGAAAACTCTAGTCTCACTAAGCAGAGTTACACATCATTTAACAGATCTACAAAGAGGAAATTAGTTCTCCTTTAGGGCCAAAACAGATCAAGAGAACTAAGACACTCCAAATCCCATTAATAGGGCTTCATAATCAATCAAAAGATTACTTAATATCATGTGTCACTGAAATTGGGATTTTGGTGTATATCTATAAGGAAAACAAATTGAGACTGGAATAGAAGATTACTTCAGATTTGGAAATATCTATTTCTGATATGCACTGTTTGTATAAAATAATCAAATTTATACTCACACAAGTAACTAAATACAATAATTTGGGACTTTGTGTAGGCAGAGATAGATCCTGTACACTTCTAATGAACCTGTGAGTTTTATAAGATATTAAATATTTTTGTCTAATATTTTTGTTTCAGTGTTGCCATTAGCTTACTCTATTGCCTTTAATATGTCTTTATAATTATGTGAATTTCAGAATGTAACAAGCTCCAGGTTTTTTTTTAATTGTCCACACCAATGTGAACAAACTCAGAAAACTCTATGCAATAAAACTCCATGCTGGATGGAGAGACATAATTTAAAATCACTTAACTTTCTGTATTACCTCTGACTTTGAGAGCTTAGTTACCAAGCTTCAGATTCAAAAGCTGTTGAATAATCAATCCACTAGGGGTTGTGTGAAACATATCCCATTGGCTTTATTTTTTTTCCAAATTTTTAAATGCTAGGCAGCTTGAGACAATTGTGCTCTGTGCACTATTCTTGAAAATAAGTAAATCTTATTGAAAGGGCATGACATCATAACTTTATGCCTATTAACTTCCTGACTGTTTCCTTCACATCTTTGTTCCTCAGACTGTAGATCAAGGGATTCAACATGGGGATGACCACTATGTAGAAGACAGAGGCTACCTTGACCATGAGCCACGAGCTCTTGGTGGTGGGAACACAGTAAAGAAATAAGATGGTTCCATGGAAAATGGTAATGGCAGTCAGGTGGGAGGCACAGGTGGAGAAGGCTTTGTGGCGCCCCCCAGTGGAAGGCATCTTCATGATGGTGATGAAAATGAACATGTAGGAGGTAAGGATGATCACCAGGCTACTTATTTCATTAAACGTTGCAGAGACTAAAACGATCATCTGGTTGATGTAGGCGTCAGAGTAGGATGCGGCCACGATGGCAGCATGCTCACAGACAAAGTTATGGATGACTTTGCTTCCTCGGAAAGATAATGTCACTAAAAAACAAGTAAGTGTCAGGGAGCAGATGAGTCCCCAAGAGTAACATGCAGCCACCAGCAAAGAACACAACTTTGGGGACATGGCCACTGTGTAGAGGAGAGGGTTGCAAATGGCCACAAATCGGTCGTAGGCCATGGCTGCCAACATGAAGGTTTCTGTCACTACAAAAACACACACAAAGAAGAACTGGCTGAGGCAGCCTGCAAAGGAGAAGCTTCTGTCCTCCACAATCAGGTTCTCCAGGAGCTTGGGGGTGACAACAGAAGAGTAGCAGAAATCCACCAAGGACAAGTGACTGAGGAAAAAGTACATAGGGGTGTGGAGCTTGGGATTGAATCTGATGATGGCGATCATGCCCAGGTTGCCCAGCACGGTGATGGTGTAGATGGTGAGGAAAACCAGGAAGAGTGGCCCCTGGAGGTCCGGATATTCTGAGAACCCCAGGAGGATGAAGGTGACTTCAGAAGTCTGATTTTCTTGGTTCCTGGGAAAGAAAAATAGGGCAGTTGGGAAGTACCTTAACTTACCAATTTATAGGTACAAAGAAGTACTTTAACACATCAATTCATGAGAAGGAGTTACTCATTCCATTGTCCCATGTGACTACTTTGCTGTTATGTTATCATGTACCATATTATTAGTGTGCTTCATAGTAAAATGAAAGAGCAAATATAGAACACTAGAACATAGGTGGTATTCAGTAACATTTAATTAATAAGTTTATGCATGAATCTATAAGTTAATCAGTTCTAGGCCTGTAACGTGTACAGAATGACGTTTAAGTGTCTGCGTTATCAGGATCACAGAGCTAACTAATAAAACTAGCTGAGGTACCACTGGCATCTACAAAGCAAGTAGTTCTGGTGGAAACCCATGCCACATGAGCTTCCTAAAGAAGTATAAAGCAAGAACAGGTATGAATGAAAGGACACACTGGATCTTGCATTCCTGTCCTGTGCCCCACTACTATGTGTCAACCACATATTTTATTGATTTAATCTAATAATTCTCTGCAACCACATTAAAATTACGTATTCAAACTTAAAATAAGCACTCACCTTGAAAGAGATGGCATGTCACACGGAACACCGTAAGAATCGAAGACTTAGCTGAGGTTGAGTGTGCTTTAGTTCTCACTCTTTAGTTCTCACACTTATTCGGATTATATTCTCCCAGATAATATGCAGCGCTGTGTCTCCTGCGTATGAACATAGCATTCCTGTATACCTGCCATTTCTTTCAATGTCCCTTTAGATTCATCTGATTGAATACCTGGCCACTTAGTCTGCTATGCTTTTCATTTCCTGGTATTTTTCCATTGAACACCAACTCTTCAAGCCCACATCTAAATTCCCCTCTTCCAAATGTGTATTCTGTCTCTGAGTGCACCAATAATGAGCAGTTCAAATTAAAAGAAAAGTTAGTGTCACCAAATACAAATACCTTTCCTGATATCTAGTCATCTGACCCTTGCTTTCTATCTTTTCCACACATGGAGATTTTCAAACCTCCTAAATTCTGCCCTTACACTAAGGGGCTCAAGGTTGTAGCTCATAATCTCCCTTTTATCCCCAGAAAATGTCACCTCTGTTCTACAATCAATAGCCCAAGGTCTCTTGTAACTACATCCTTTTCCTTACAGCCTAGCTTTCTCATCTTACATTATGTACTTAACTTACTAGACTAGTGAAAACTTTATTACTGAAATGCATAATATAATCCTGGTCTTCAAATGTGTTTCTTCTGAGAATTGGTCTGAGGAATAATTTATGTAATTATAAATTATTAATATATCTATGATGCATCAAAACTAAAATGTGTGTTCATAAAAAGAATATTATGCTCAAGAAAAAAAACATTACCCAGTGATGAAGCTATAATAATAATAATAATAAGCACCATAAAATGAGACAAGCATTTCTAATGGGTAGAATTATGTACACCTAATAGGAAATGTATAATAGTCTACATTCTTTCATAGACTTGTCTCCAGCAAAGATTAAGAAAGTGTTCTCCCTAGCCAGGTGCCAGTGGCTCACACCTGTCATACTAGCTACTCAGGAGGCTGAGATCTGAGGATCATGCTTCAAAGCCAACCCAGGCAGGAAACTCTGTGAGACTCTTATCTCCAACAAACCACTAGAAAACAGGAAGTGGAGCTGTGGCTCAACTGGTAGAGTGCTCGCCGTGAGCTGAAAAACTCAGGGACAGCACCCAGCCCCAGCGTTTAAGCCCCATGACTGACAAAAAAATAGAGTGTGTTCTCCCAATGAGAATTAAGTAAGAATGGAACCAACTCACCTCAGGGAAGTATTTGACTTACTCATCTACTGAAGCTTCTTTACAAACTTTAATAGAATCCTGAAAAGCTACTGATAAGAATCAATTTTTTAAATTTTATTCAGTACAAAAAAATAACAAGGGTGACCAAAAGTTAAAAAAGAGGGCCAAGAATCAACTGTGTTTCAATGAATATTTAGTGAAACATTCTCTATAACATTGTCTCCTAAAATTTCCAAAAAGAAACTGAATGATAACAGAGAAAAAGGAAGAGATTAAAAATCTGAATTCTAGCACCAAACTGTCACATATATATGCCACCAAAGCCTGTGGGATGGAAACCCTGGAGAATGCATTTGAAGTATTGCCTGGAAGAGACCAATTTGAACAATTAGATGAAACAAAGCCCCATGGAGTATTATGTTTTTGTGTAGCTTTCCTAAATATCAGGGATAATTCTTTTATTTTGCTTCATTCCACATTCTTATTTTAAACATGCTGATCAGGCATATGTGTGTGTGTACATATATATGTAGAAAATTCAGCCCTCAGAATATAGACTAACTTTGTTTTTAAGTATATATCTGAAAAAAAAAAAAAAGTATATATCTGGAGACAAAGCTTACATAAGAATTAGTATACTTATTACATCTTCTTATTTGGGGAAAATTTTTTATTAGCTTTCAGTAGTTGTACAAAGGCATTCCCTTTCAACAAAGCAGTTCATGAATACATGACATTTTGATCAATGTCACCCTTTTCAATATTCCCACCCACCCCTCCCCACCCACACCTTCCCTCACTTTTTTTAATTTTAGAGTATGCATTGAATTTTTTTGCCATTAACAGAACAGTTTATGTGTACAATGCATCTTGACGGTGTCACCAACGTTTTCTATGTTCCGCCCCTTCATCCTACTGCTTCCCTTATTTTCTCAATTCTGTGGCTTACACAATGAATTCTTGACTGCATTCTCCTCCTTTCTGCCCTTATTCTTCTAGCACTTTTTCCTAGCTCCACCACCTGCCTCTTGTAAGTAACCATTTCCTGCTACTTACACAGTCTTTCTAAAGAATTTTATTATTTGAGCACTCTATAGAGTCTATAATACTTCAGTTAATTTATTTATAACCACTTGCATACAACCCAGTAAGTTCACTTATAGATTTATAAACACATTCTACCCACCACAAATGACAGAAACCATTCTGTTTGTGTTTCTCTGGGTCTGACTTACTTCATTTAATATAATTTTTTCCAAGTCTTTCCATCATTTCCTTACAAATGGTACAATATCATTCTGATGGCTGAGTAGAATTCCATTGTGTATGTTTATATGTGTGTATATACACATGTATATACACATATATACATATATATATTATTTATCTATTATATGTGTGTTATATGTGCATATATATGTGTGTACATATATGTATATATGTACATATAACATGTATATAATATATAATATAATCACTTTTTATGATCCATTTACCCAGTAAAGGGTATCTGGACTGATTCCAAAGCTTAGCTATAGTGAATAGTGTTGCAGTGCACATGGTGATTTGTGGCTATGAGATTAAGTGAAATTGAAATGGCAATGAAGGACCTCCTGTCCAAGCAAAACCCAAGACTCAGTGGATTTACAGCTGAGTTCTATAAGGCCTTCAAGGCCAAACTGACACTAATACTCCTCAAACTCTCCAATGAAATAAAAAGGAAAAGATCCTTGCCAAACTCATTGAATAAAGCCACCATTATACTAATCCCAAAACCAGAGAGGGACCCATCAAAAAAGAAAAACTATAGACCTATCCCTTTGATGAGCACTAATGTAAAGCTTCTCAATATAATTCTGGCCAACCAAATTCAACAACTAACCAAGAAAAATACATTATGACTAAATAGGATTCAGCTAAGGGAAGCAAAAGTAGCTGGCTCAATATACATAAATCAATAACTGTAATAGAATATATCCACAAGAAACATGGGATCATCTCAATAGTTGATAAAAGTTCTGGAGAAGCTAGGAATCCATAGAACATTCATGACTATAACAAAGGCTTTATATGACAAACCCACAGCCAGCATTGTACTTAATGGTGAAAAATTAAGAGTATTTCCCCTAAAATCAGAAATCAAACAAGAATACCCAGTCTCTCCACTCTTCAATGTGGTACTGGAATTCCTAGCTAGAGCAATAAGGCAAGAGGCAGACATAAAGGGGATCCAGATAGGGAAAGAAGTTAAAGTATCCCTTTTTTGCAGATGACCTGATCCTATGGACTCTATAGACTCCTCCCCCAAGCTACTAGAACTTCTCCAAAACTTTGGCAAAGTAGCAGGTGTGCAATCAACCCACAAAAATCAGTAGCCTTTCTGTATGCCGACAATGAGAAGATTGAGACTGAAATGAGGAAAGCAACCCATTTATAGTAGCCTCAAAAAACGGAAAAGAAAGAGAGAAAGAGAGGAATGAAGAAAAAGAGCAAGAGAGAGAGAGGGAAAGAGAAAGAAAGAAAGAAAGAAAGAAAGAAAGAAAGAAAGAAAGAAAGAAAGAAAGAAAGAAAAAGAAAGAAAGAAAGAAAGAGAAAGGAAGGAAGGAAGGAAGGAAGCAAGCAAGCAAGCAAGTAAGCACCTAACGAATTAACAAAATTCCAACAACAATCTTCAATGAGAAAAAGCAATCCAAAACTTTATATGGAATAACAAAAGACCCTGAATGGCAGAAGCAATCCTTAGCAGGAAGTATAATGTCACAGGAGTAGCAATATCAAACTTCAAACTCTATTACAAAGCTGTAACAATGAAAACAGCTAGGTACTGGCACAAGAATAGCCTGCGGACCAATAGAAGAGAATAGAAGACCTAGAAATAAACTCACAGACCCACAACCATCCAATATTCAATAAGGGAGCCAAAAATATACCAAAAAAGACAGCCTCTTCAACAAACAAGGCTGGCAAAACTGAGTATCCACATGCAGAAAACTGAAGTTAGAACCTTACATATCACCCTAGAACAGATATTACACCTCTTAACTGAAAACTGTATTCTGAGCTTTATTTTATGTAGTAAGTATTAACACTTTTTTCATTAATTAGTTATGTGATTCAATGATTTTCATTATTTACTATAAATTTTATTATGGACTTTAATGTGTAAATTATATATATATATATATATATATATATATTTGACAAAAACTGTATTTAACAGAAAGCTAGCAGGTATCAATTTAAATGTTATGGGAAATGGAACTTATTCTTAGAACACATCTATAGTACAGCAGGCAAAAACTAACCAATATAATGTCACATAAATTTCAATGCAATATACCATGTTAAGAGAACAGATGGAAAACAGATATGACCTTCACAGTTGGTGCAGAATTTGAATCTGACATTAGTCTAGTCCCTGTGGCAATAGATGCAATACACCTCTGCATGTTGAAGAAAATTTCTACAATGTGGTAGAGACCATCTACAAAAATCCACATCAAAAATCATATTCAAAAATGAAAAACTGAAATCATTCCTCTTTTTTGTTTTAGTTTGGTTTTGTTTTTTATTATTAATAAGTTTTATATTGTGAAAATACTGTGCAGAGGGGTTACAGTTACATAAGCAAGATAATGAGTACATTTCTTAATTTCTTTTCAAGCATTGTTGCTTCCTCCTTTGTTTTTCCCCTACCATC